CACGAGAAGTAATATTCTTACTTGTCGGGGTATACGGCTGGAGTTTCCCGGTCGGTGCAGGGTTTTGTTTCGCGGATCCTCCATTAGTCTCGGCGATTTCCCCTGGTGCCGGCTGGTCGTGACGTTTTAAATTTGCGCCACCATATTCTCCTTTTTTCGCCCTCTCCGAAGTTGCCACGTTGTCCGTTTTCTGCTTCGGGGGTGCCGCACTGTTCTTGTCCTTCAGCTCCGCACACCTTCTCTTCATTTTCCAACACGCCAAGATACGATGTCCTATAGCGCCGCAAAATTTGCACGTCTCATTATTTGCTAGCCGCTGCTCCACATCGCCCTCGTCGTTCTCCATCGGGTCGGCAGTCGTGGGTGGTGCCAATCGCCCCATGCCACTAGTTGGCTTGTTGCGTCGCGTTCCGTAGTAGCTACTGTTCAACGTGTCGAACTATTCGATCAGTGCTGCCGGAAACTGCGCCCATGTCCCCTCGCCTTGGACTATTCTGTTGTTGATCCACTCTAGAGCTGGGCCTCGTAACAGTGTTGCTGCGAGCCGTATGCGCATTGCGTCTTTTGTCGGGGTCGTGCATCCAACGGCTTCGAAGTAAATTTCGAGTTCAGCTACAAATCGACAAACGTCGTTCCTTTTTACTGTAGGATCGAACGCCTCCGGTAGCCTCGGCTTCACTGCTTCGAGGTTAACTGTAGCTGCTGCCGTTGTCGCATGTAGAATTGTCGGTGTTGCCGCTGCTGCTGCTGCTACTGTTGTCGCTGCTGCTGTGGCGGTTGCCGACTGGTTCGCAAGGAGTTTTTCGAGTCGTGGGAGCGCCGCATGTATTTGCTTATGCTCAGCACGTAACTCCGCGATTTTCTGTACTGAAATATCTCCTTTTCCCTCCATTTGGCGATTTACAGGAAGATGCGCGACGAAAATAATCGAATTCTAGGTGCTGGTCGACTTACTGCGAGTCAAGTTGACTATAGGATCGACGAGCGCGAATTCTGTAGGTCGCGTAAATCTCCCCTGGGCGAAATTCGCGTCCGATCTTGGCCGTTGAGGAGAAAATCAATCCGACGCTCCAAATTCCAATGTTTTTGGGCGAAATTCTCTGGGCCGTTGAGATGAAACTCGATCGAACGGTCGAAACTCCAACCTTTCCACCAGTAAATCTGAGGGGTGTTCGAAAACCGAATCGAGGGGGACTTAGAAAAATTGCGCGGAACTGGTTTTACATACCCGTATCGGCGCTTTCGTCGTCGCCCCCGCGGTTTTTTAAAGGCCGGAACTAAGCGGTTGAAGACCTCGCGTGAAAACCCGCTCTGATACCAAGTGTGAGGATCTAGGATCGAGCTCAGAAAAGAGAATGTGAATTGAATTGAATTGAATGATCACCTGGGTACAACACGAGGCTATATATACTCGACACAAGGCCCCGTAACCAGGTGTTACGCGAAGGTTCCGCGGGTCGCGAAGCGTCCCGAACAGATCCTTACCGAATTCGGTAGATGGCAATTCGGTGGCAACCGAAAAGCCAGAATTCGGTGCACGCAACCTAGCTCGGTGCTATAACTATAATAAAATATAGGAAAGCACCTAGCCTAGAAAATCAAGCAATTCATGCATGCATATAATTATCCTATGCTAGAAATAGCATGATAAAGTAAAGGCAAGCAAGCATAGCTGGCATAAGCCGTCGTACTCTCACAGAAATCATGTCAAGATAGCAAGCAGGAATGATTGCATTGAATGAATTGTGGGTACAAATACTAACCCTAATATTAGGTTGTACCCCACATGGGCTACCCCACTATAGCCGGCCTTCCTCCCTCCCCTCCGTTCACTTTTCCCGTCACCTTCGCGCTCTCCCTCTCGTCGCCTGCGCGCTCTCCCTCCCGTCCACTTAGCGCTCTCCCTCTCGTCGCCTGCGCGCTTTTCCCTCCCGTCGCCTTAGCGCTCTCTCTACCGTCGCCTTAGCGCTCTCCATCCCGTCGCCTTCGCGCTTTCCCTCCCGTCGCCTTAGCGCTCTCCCTCCCGTCGCCTTCGCGCTCTCCATCCCGTCGCCCTTGCAATCTCCCCTCCCATCTGGTCGTTCACTTCATCTCCTCTCGCTTACGTCCTCCCCTCCCATCGGCATCGCGTTCACGTTCCTCCCTCCCCTCGCCATCGCGCTCACGTTCCTCCTCTCCCCTCCCATCCCGTCGTTCGCCTCCTCTCCCCTCCCATCCCGTCGTTCGCCTCCTCTCCCCTCCCATCCCGTCGTTCGCCTCCTCTCCCCTCCCATCCCGTCGTTCGCCTCCTCTCCCCTCCCATCCCGTCGTTCGCCTCCTCTCCCCTCCCATCCCGTCGTTCGCCTCCTCTCCCCTCCTCTCCCGTCGTTCCTCCTCTCTCCCCTTTCTTCCCATGGCTCCTCCGCTCTTCCCTCGCTGTCCGTTGTTCCTCTCTCTCTCCCCATCGATATCATTCTATCAGTTGGTGATACCTTTCCCCCTCGTCAGGGGTTTTTTTATCAGAGTAAATTACTCTGTTTCTCTGAAAATCAGAGTGGTTTTTAGGGGGTCACTCTGACGTGTCTGGGTAATTTTTTTGGAAGATAAGTGGTTAGGGCGACAACATATATATCAAGTCCGTCTGCAAGCGTATCTGTTAGCGCGTAGCACAACGATTATAATTTTGGTACGAGTGCAGAAGGCCTGGGTTCAGTACTTGAGAGGACACTCAGAATTGAAAAAATAGTTACACTGACTGTCCAGAGCATATTTTTCAGTAGTTAAGTTTTCTCTGACAAATCAGAGTAACGCTCATAATTAACCCCTGAATTTCAGAGTTCCCTAGAAAACAGCTCTGGAAATCCGAGTAGTGGAAATCCAAAAAAAAGCCCTGCCCCTCGTTCTTGGACTCCCTATTTTTAACCTCTTTCAGCCTCAAGTCCAAGGAAACGCTGTTTCTCGCAACTCTGCCATGTCGTCGGCCCACCTCCGCTCTCATCTCCTGCATATGTGTGTGCTCTGGATTTCGCCTGTTCTTGATTGATGTGAGTTTGGAGTTTAGGGCGTGTAAAATCGCCGCACCTAAAAATTCGGCCACTAGCCAAATGGCCGAACTGGCGAAAGTAACCCGTTTGAGAAAATTTCGAAGACGCTCGAGACCGTCGTGAATTTCGCCAATAAAAAACGAAATTGATGGCCGTTTTGAAAGTCGACTCGACTCATATCCGACACCATGTCGACTCCAATTCGGCCAAGTAGTCGACACCGTGAGCGACTGTCACGTACGACGTCGCACGGTCTCGCAGAACGATTGAAAATTCTTTATCCTGTCCAATCAGAGTTTTCGCCGTCAAATGTACGACCCCGTCGCACATACGTTCCTACTGTAGCAACTGCAAAGTTTACAACTTTTTGAAACCGGCCTGAAATTCGGCCCTCAAACCTGTTAAGTTTGCATGCAAATAGTGGCTGTAAATGTGACGACACGAAGTCGACCAATCCGTCGACTTTCGCGAAAGAAATGTCGACCAGATGGTCGACGTAAAACCGGCCAAAAGCAGATTTCGCAAATTTGCTGGGATTTTACACGCCCTTAGGGTACATTCCTGTGGGGACACTTGTGTCTCAATCACTTTGTGACACCCAAAAACAACATAAACTGTGTTGTGTCCCAAATGCGAATCGGCTTTCGGCGACTTGTACTGTATTTATTATTGGTCAGCGTGAAACGCGCTGACATCGCTGTCGAATTGTGAAACGACCCGTCATTGTTAAAGAATCGCACGCGACTCGAAATGCCCGACACGACCACATGCACCTGGACATCCGAAAATGCCAATTTTGCGAGGGAAAAGATCCCGCGCATCGAAACCACGCCCCTGCTCGGAGGTTGAAAATACGGGTGTACTGTCACCCAGTCAAATGCACACACCTGTACATCTCTTTTTGATCCCCGCCAGTGAAACGTGTCCAACTGAACCTGCCAATATGTCGCCCTACATCGCGGTACATTCGATGTTTGTGACACAACATTGGGAAAATTAACAGGCGCGACTCGGGAAAACGGGGATTGAGACACAAGTGTCCCCACAGGAATGTACCCTTAGTTCGATGACTGCTCGAGTGAATACAGGCATTGCAACCTTGCGCCAAATTCGCACAGAAGTATGTGTGCATTGTGTTTGAGTTTCGCTGCCAATCAGAATTGTGCACTTGTTCCAAATGTTCCCCGTTCACAGCAAGACTCGTCTGGAGTGGAAAAATAAAATGCACAGCACTTCGTTGATCCCGAAATGTTCCAAAAAAACTTCAGTTTTCATGTGGACCCAACTAAAAGGGGGGGGTCACTATTTTAGCTGCTGGCTTTAATTGGAGTGGTACATCACAGTACCCCAAGCTGCAGTGGTATAGTTGACTTCGCAAGTTTGCAGTGCAACATATGAAGGTATCCTCTGTCTGCACCCTGCATGCAAATCGACAGTGTCAATCCAGTGGGGCTCAAACCCACCGTGCTCTCTTGTTACACCAACTTCAGTGGCAGTAGTAGCAACACACTGCTACGCTCACAGCACACTCAAGTCCAGCAGCTTGAGTGCATGCACCCACACACATGGGCTGAAATACACTGTGCTCTCCCTGTACATGCGCACGTCATACCGTGTGCGCGGATACACCAAACCCCCCTGGCAGTAGCACACTCCTCCTACCCTCACCGCACACTCAGATACAGCAATTTCAACGCATGCACCCACACGTGCGGGCTGAAGTAGACTGTGTTCTTCCCATACACGCGCACATCATACCGTGTGCACGGATACACCACCAAGCCTCTCAGGTAGCACCAACACACCCCTCCTACCCCTCACCGCACGCTCAGATCCAGTGGTTTCAGCGCATGCACCCACACGTGTGGGCTGAAGTAGACTGTGTTCTCCCCATACACGCGCCCATCATACCGTGTGCGCATAGACGCCCCCTACCCTCAATAGTAGTGGTAACAGTGCAACACCCTTCCTCCTTGATTACCGCACACTCAGATCCAATGGCTTGAGTGCATGCACCCACACGTGGGGGCTAAAGTAAACAGTGTTCTCCCCGTATGTGCGCACGTCATACCGCGTGCGCGGATACACCCCCTCCATGCACGCGCCTATCCCTGGCGCCAAGTCCTCATGCACCTCCACTGACACCACTGCCACATCATGCTGCCACTCTGCTCCCACTTCTCCTTCTCCTTCACCCTCTTCTCTTTGCCCTCTCCCTCTCCCTCTCCCTCCCCCTCCCCCTCCCCCTCCCCCTCCCCCTCCTCCTCCCCCTCCTCCGCCTGCCCTGGCCAGGGCAGCGGAGCAGAACACCTCGATCTCAGCGCCTTCAATGTCAATCTTCGCGTAGTCGAACCGTGGCACCTGCATGCGCTGCAGCAGCGACGGCACTGAGACTGCGGGCATGCAGGGGGAGGCGGGAGCAGGTGAGTGGCTGCCAGTGGCAGCAGCAGAGGATGGGTGAGACAGGGAATCCGTTCTGCTGCTGGATTTCTGCTGCTGCTGATCCTGCTGATCCTGCAGATCCTGCTGCTGCTGTACAAGCTGCTGCTGTTTCTCCTGCTGCTCATGTGCCTGCTGCGTCTCCCCACACGCGTGTGTCTCGTACGCCCAGAAGCCCTCCCTGCGGCCGCCTGTGACGGCTATCCGGGTGTCGTGCGACCAGAGGGCGGCATTGACTGGCAGTATCCGGGGCAGGTGCTTCACATTGCGCTGCAGCAGGGCGAAGTTGTCCCGTGCCGGCTCCACTGCCACTATCAGCGCACGGGGGAAGCTGCTTGGGGGAGGGGGCAAGGCAGGAGGGGGATAATGGAGGCAAGGAGAAAGCAATGAGCAAGCAGCGCGAAGTTGTCCCGCGCCGGCTCCACTGCTAGTATGAGCACACGGGGGAAGCTGCTTGGGGGAGAAAAGTGGAGGGGAGACGCCACGCAACGGGAAGAGAGAAGGATGGTGGTTGAAAGAAAGAGAGCAAGAAATGAGTTGACGATGGTGGGGCATGTGTCAGCAGCATGTGCCATATATTCACAGTTGAATAAATGAATCACATCATACATTCATATCTAAATCCCAGCATACCGCAGGGCGAAGATGAGGGAGGCAAGCCCGATGTTGGCGCCCGCATCAAGGATGGCGGACGGGCGGAAGTGGGGCAGCAGCGAGGGGCGCAGGAAGCGGAAGGCGCGCGTGTCGAGCAGGTGGTACAGCAGCGCCACGTCGGACGACGCGGGGCGGACCCACACCGCCAGCTGGCAGCCAGCTGGCGAGTCGGAGCAGGGGAACCAATGAGGTGGCAGATACACCGCCACGCATACAGCCTGGAGGGGAAGAGGGAAGGGAGAGAAATAAAGGTTGACGGGCGGGAAGAGAAAACAAGAATTGGGACTGAAACAGAGCCAACACGAGAGCCAACACGAGAGCCAACACGAGAGCCAACACGAGAGCCAAGGCAGAAGCTCAACCAACGTATTTTATATATCAATCCATCTTTGCACCTTCCGACCTTCATCCTCCCTCTCACCTCCGATTCGTCCCCCGCAATCCCCGCTAGTACCCCTCTGCGCCCTGCCATCTCCGCTAGAAGCATCTCCAGATATCCGTGCTGCATCCACTCGCTGCCGTTCGTGCTGTACCACACCGAGTCCCCCTGAAACCCCTCCTCCGTCTCGCGCGCAGGAGCAGCGGGAGCCGGCCAGCCGCACAGCTCGTCACCACCTTCACGCTTTCCCTTGCGGTCAGAATAGGAAGCTTCGTCGTCGGCTCGAGCGGCGTCAACCGGTGTAGCTCTAGCCGTGGTATCAGCGTCAGCTGCGGCGCTCAGCCGTGATCGCGCGGCGGAGGCTCGCCATTTCGCCAGTCGCGCGTGCGACACTCCAGGCAGCACCTCGTCATCGCGCAGATCCCACGATGAATCCAACGAGATTCCGTCGCGGGTAGAAATCGCCTCGTCCAAAGAAATCACTCTTCCGAATCCTCCAGGAAGATCGTAGCGTGTCGAAGGTTTTGGCGGCGCTGGTCTAGAGTGTGGAATCACACCGCCAATGTAGGCTAGGGTACACACGGCGGAGAAAATGAAGAACCTCAGCAAGCAGGGGATGCGGGAAGAATGCGCTTGGGACTCAGTGCAGGCGCTGACGCGCAGGCGAAGTGCGTGCGGAAGGCGGTTTTGCCATCGAGTGGCTCTTGGGCTAACCATTTGGCGGGATATGCGGCGTCATATTAGACGCAAGGAATCCATGAGGAGCAGGCGAGAACCACCTCCATCCCAGAATCTCGTTGATGGGCTAGTTATTTTACCCGTTCTGGTCGTGGTCTAGCTTTCACGATTCATGCTTTCGAATTGGAATTCTGAAACATGCTACAGAGATGGTTACAAGCGGATCTGCGACTGTGATAAGTTGAAACAAGACGACTGTGGCGAAGAGTGCGAGTTCGTAAACCACGTCGTCGCTCATGGATTTGTTGATGCCGAACGTCCAAAAGCAGAAAGATACTGCATACCAAGACGGGTTACTACGCAACAATTGCTTGGCTGCTCTAAGTCCATTTCCCCTTGCGCGAGCAACCGAAACGGCCGTTGCGAAAAGGTCTGAAGAAGGTTCGCATGCCAAGTGCACCGCCTGTCAAGTGGACGACGCTTGGCGCAAGCGTCTGGGTCAGGGCTGTCGCTACAAGGGCAAATGCCCTTAATGCCCTGAACATTAAGGGTTGAGTTTGGCTTAGGTCCCCGAATTTAAGGGTTGGGTTTCAGGTCAGCACGTCTGCCTAAAGTGCTTTGCTCGGGGCTAACCCGGATTTCAAGTACGAGTCTTGGGGCTAGCCCTTTCCCCTTCGAACTGATTCCCGCCGTACCTCCCTCCCCTCTCCCCACCCGCTCCATTTCCCATCGTCCCAGTTCCAGGTGCAGTATAACTCTTCCCAGAGCCAGTTTCGATTACTCTGTGAACTTTCGAGGTCAGGACCTAAACTGTTTTTTTTCGAAATCAGAACCTGAACCGCAGGTCAGAACCTGAAGTGGTTTTAGTACAGACCGTAGGTTTCTGCGAGGAATGTCAGTCCTTAAGTTTTCTGTCCGCTAACAGCCTCAAGATCCTGCCTTTGGTCGCAACAAGGAAGGGGAATGCAGCGTAGGCCAGGGAGTACTTAGTGCTAGAGAGGTCCCAGAACCTCACCCTTACAATTTGGTTGGGCATTGAAAATCGAGGATGATCTCTTGTCTAGCAAAAGTGCATGACACTTTGTAGCCCTGATTTCAAGTGCTGAGTTTGGCCCCAAAAGGTAAATCTAAGGGCAAATTTCTGGGCAGCTCAGCCTTCCAAGTTCTGGCCCCAGAGCAATCAACAGCCCTGGTCTGGGTGTCACCCGTCACATCAAATTTCGCCAAGCACCTTCTATGCCAAGAAAAGTTGGGTGCGGCATGTCAGAAGGCTCCCACAAACCGAAGGTTAGGCTCGAAACCTACGTGCCGCACGTCTCCAACCAGGCCGGAGCTGCAGCTTTGGGGGTGTCAAACATGGCTCGGGCTCCCCTTGGCGCGGAAGTGAGCTCTGGGGAGACGAGATGACTGGTGGCAGCAGTGCCTCTTGCGCAGTTTGCGGGCAGACAAAAGAATCAGCAGATGCGATTCGTCACTCCAAGCCGCAACCAACCAAAGGCAACAGCGAATCACGATGAAGATGACACTCGGAAATTCCTACCAGGCCATTTTCCGAGCCAGCTTAGAGCTATCAAACTGTTACCGAACCTGTCTGTTTTCCCGCCTCACATAACGAGCCTGCGCCATACGTGCCAACGAACCAGTTCGAGTCCGTTTCTCTGCACCTGATTTGTTTTTCCCCTAACTACCCTCGGCATCTTGCACAGTCAGATCTGAAACACCCTGACCACGCAGAACAGTGCTGAACCGCACGGGTAAGTGGTTGGCCAAGCAAAGCGAGCACCCCGCCATGGCTTCCATTCCACACCACAGCTTTTCCTAGTCTCCTGTCGTTACACGCTCGAGAACAGGAGAGCTTCTCGTCTCTGCCCACTTGGTTTCAGAAAGACACTTCGGTGGGCTGTCGTTGCTTTCTCCACGCATCGGCCTCGTCGAAACTCGACAGGACATGCAACATTCTCTAGGAATCAGTGTCTCCGCATCTCGCGTTCATGTAGCTCGCAAGGTCATGCTCGCGTAACGTTTGTCTCTTGAAGATCTCTCCGGTGGACTATCAGTTGATATCATAGTATGACTAGCAGAATGCGTAAGGACTGACGGACTGACGGAAACCAGCCTTCCATCCTAGAAATCAGTCCGTCGCGCCGCCTCTCGCGATGGACGACTCGAGGGTGGGCGTGCAGCGGAAAACCGGCCTCGCGCTGCACGGCCGCAGCATCAGCGCCAAGGAGTCGAGCCGCGTGCTTCACGCCGGAGTCCACGCGGCCGAAACCCTCAACAAAAATGTCGCCGTCTTCACTCACAACCATGCGTACAGCCACTACCCGCCAACGGACGAACCGAACCTAGCTTCGGTCGACTTCCGAGCCTGGCTCGCGGACCAGGTCAAGTTCAGCCAGAGCCTCGTCATCCCGCAAGTCCCGGAGAAGCCGAGCTTCCTCGAGTCGTTCGCGCCGTTCCGACTGTTAGGGCGCGTGGGGAGCAAGAAGGCGCAGTGCACGGTGGCGATGCACGTGCACGGGGTGGACAATTTCCCGAAAGACATGGAGGGGAAGGAGCTCGTTGTGCAGTGGCTGCGGCGCGGCATGTCGGTCGGCACGAGCCCCATGGTGGTGCACCGCGGCGTCGCACGCTTCGAGCAGACGCTGACGATGTCGTGCACGATGTTCTTCAACGCCGGAGCGCAGGGGACGGTGAAGTTCAAACGGAAACCGTCGACGCTCTGCGTGCAGATGTTGAAGACGTCTGGGATTGGCTACGTCGCGGAGCTTGGGCGGCATTCCGTGGATCTAGCGAAGCTGCTGCCCGCGTCGCTGCACGAGAAGGAGGAGGGGCAGCCCATGACGCTGAGCTTTCAGCTCGCGGGATTGGCGGAGGGGGCCGTCATGGTCGCGACGTTCGGGTACGAGTTACAACTCGGCCGCGGCGTTACGTTTCTCGCGCGAGTTGACACCAAGTCGTTCCGCCTGTACGCCGCGACGGCGATCGCGGCGGCGGCAGCGGCGGTGTCGCCGACCAGCAGCCCTCCGGGGAGCCCGCAGGCGAGTCCCTGCGGCGGAAGCGAGAAGGACGAAGCTTCGCCGAAGCAGAAGAAGAAGCTGTCGTTCTCCCTGTACCAAGCGCCGGCGGATCGCTCCGCGGCGCCGCAGAGCGCGCGGAGCCAGGGGGACGCGCGCGGGACCCGCGCGGGCCCGCTGATGCGCATGATCTCGGGCGGAAGCGCGATGCGGACGGTGGTGGAGGAGGAGGAAGAGGAGGAGGAGAAGGAGAAGGTTGCGGTGAAGGATACGCGCTCGGCGGGGGTACATGCGCGCACGGACGGCAAGGGTGGGGCGAGCGGAGGGGGAGCCGGAGGGGGGACGGCGGAGAAGGAGGCGGAGGGGGAGGGTGATGCGGTGGACTTGGCGGATGTTTTGGCGGAAGGGGAGGGGTTAAACGACGAGGAGGAGGAAGAGGGAGAGGAAGACGAAGAAGAGAGTGATGATGAGGAGGAGGAAACCGATGACGAGGACGAGGACGAAGAGGACGACGAGGATGAAGAAGAAGAGGAGGAAGAAGGGGGAAGAGTGGAGGTGAAGAAGGTGATGGGGGGTTATGCGGTGCAGAGTGATTCGGGGGAGGAGCGCACGGTGCGGGTGGACCCAGGCACGGGCACCAGCAGCGTCGCCACCACCACCACCACCTCAACGACGACCACCAGTGGCCGCGACGCGTCGCTCGATTCCGCGAGTTCCGCGGGCGAGGGGGGGCGGTCGCGCATGGCGCAGGCGATGCTTGAGTTCGAGTGGACGCTGCAGGAGGAGCGGAGCGCGGAGGTGGCGGAGCGGAAGGGGGACGAGTCCGCGAAAGGGCTGTCTGGCGGCGACGATTACGGTTACTCGCCGGGGCGCGAGTGGGCGAACGGGGCTGTGAAAGCGGCGGGGGATGCGGCGGCGAATGCGGCGGGTTTGGAGGAGGAGATGGATCTGGTATCCGACGAGTTCCTCGAGCTGCTCATGCAGTCCGGCGCGATTGACGGCGCGCCGGGGAGTCTCGACGGGTTTGGCGGCGGAGAGGACGGGGAAGGGGAGGAGGGGGAGGATGGGCGGGAGGGGGGGCTGCTGGGCGTGGCGGAAGGGCTGCTTAGCCCCGCGCGCCAGGCGTCGAGCCGCGTGGGCAGCAACAGTGTTGGCGCGAGTGAGCGCGAGTGGATGGAGGGTAGTGGAGAGGTGTCTTCTCACGCAGACGAGGATGAGGAGGAGGAGGAGGACGAGGACGAGGACGAGGAGGAGGAGGAGGTGGGTGAAGGCATGATGGCGTGCAATGGTGTAGGGCGGGACGCAGGGCAGGGGGAGGATGCGGGGGAGGGGGAGGGGGAGGGGGACGACGATATGCTGTCGAGCATGTTGCGCGAGGCGGAGGAGGAGCAGCAGCGCGCGGAGATCGAGGAGAAGAGCCGCCGCAAGGCGCGCCTGCTCATGCTGCGCTTCCGCGGCAACGCGCCCGCCGCCGCCGCCGCCGCTGCTGCTGAGGTTCCCTTAGCTGCTGCCCCTTCTGCCGCACCTGCCGCCTCTGCTTCGGAACCCGCTGCGGCTGGCGTGCAGTCCGCAGCGCTGGTGGTGGCGGGGAGGGGCAGGGGCGCGCCCCCTGCTGCGGCCGCCGTTACCACTTCCTCGGCTCTTGCCGCGCCTGCGCGCAAGCGCTGGTCCACCGCAGGCCCGCTCGCCGTCGCTGGCAGCGGCGCGGGGAACGGCGCCGGGAGGGGCGCGGGGAGGGGCGCGGGCGCCAGTGGCGCGCTTGTGCCGAGGGTAGGGGGTCGGGGGGCGGCGGGCGGGGGAGCGGGCGGAGGCAGGGGGAGGGGGGGACGGCTGACGGTGCAGGAGAGAGTGCGGTTGATGGAGGAGGAGCGCGCGGCGGGGAAGGAAGGGCGGGGGGGGAAGGGGTGGGAGGGGGGGGAGGAGGAGGAGGCAGAGGCGGAAGCGAGGAGAAGCGCGAGCGCGGAGGCTTCCGGAACGTCGACTGCGCTCGTGCCAGCTGGCAGGGGCGCGGCGCGGCAGCTG